CTTTCGCATCTGAATCCTATACAAAGTATAGGATTTGAAAGATTTACAAAGCACTGGTTTTAAAAAAAAATCGAACCATAATATCCACAAATGATCATTTACTTGCTTTCTTCAAGCAAATGTTAATTTGAATTACTATTACTAACTTAAGCACCCATGGCAATGCCATTGTTAATTATAATTATGTGGTGGCTTGCCAGCACTTGTGATATTAACAAAGTAATTAAATAAATAATAAAAAATAGTATTAATAAATAAAAAAGTTTATGAGGGTAAACAAGACTTCTGTATTACTATAAGGGAGGTTTTAAGCCTCCCTATGCCCCACCTACCAACTCTTTATTTTAAATGTCCCATTGTAAAGCTGCCAGTGGGCAAATAGTTTAGATGTTTTTTTTTTATTTGAAGCATATGGGCCTGAATTCGAAGCATTTGTGTCTTGCTGAAATCTGAACCACGTTAAAGCTCATTTGGACCCTGAATTGCACAGTTCATGCATTGTTGGGTAGTGTGAACAATGTTTAGAATTTGCAGTCCGAAAGGCCCTTTACACAGCCAGATATTTCGGCTCCGTTTGGTATGGGCTATTTGTAGTTTAATGACTAACCCTGTAAGGGTGATCATATTAACAAAACAATAGTGGAGATGTACTGGATACTGCATTCACCAAGTAACCCAGGTGCTCTGACGTCACAGCTGGCCAGGCCTCCCTTTCAAGATATGCAGAATAGAGAATGGTCCAGGCACTCCGGGATAACAAAAATATCACCTTCATTGGGGCAAAAGCAGCAATGTTTCGACCCTTCCATGCCCATATAAAGCTGCTATTTTTGTTACCCCGTAGTGCCTGATCCGTTCTTTATTAACAAATAGACGTATGCATTTGTTTCACTCTCCCTTAAGCACATCGATTCGTCAGGCACAGAACCCCTTTTGACTAACTTTTAAATTAAATAAGCGTAAAGAAAAACATTTTGGAAAAGGGTTTAATTGCCGGATTAATAGAATCAACAACAAACAAATCGGATCATTTAAGGAAGAATATCGCAAAAGCACATATCTATATAACAATGTGAAAAATTCTAGGATAATAAAAGATAAGAAATGCCAGATCCATCCATCTAGAGGGATTTATGTCTGTAGTTGAAAAGTAAAAAACTGCAGATGATTAACTTACTGTTTTTGTCTCCAGTACCAGTACGTTAATAACCAATTAATAACCAATTGTCTGTTTTATAGAAATGAAAAACACAAAAACAGTCTGGTATGCCTGGTGAACAATAAAAATATACAAAATACTGCATATAAGTAAACATATGTTTGTATCACACAAATAAACAGCTCTGAATAGTTCTCTTTTCCAGTAAATCTTTATGCTTTGAACCCTCTCCAGTAACTCTATAGGTTTTGGTCCTCTGCAGTTTGTGAAAGATGTATGTTAAAGTACAGAAGGGTGTGGATGTGCAATAGTTTCACCTAGAGATGTCTTTTACATTGAAAAAAAAAAAGTGCTCACTTTAGTGTTTGCACATTTGTTGCCATAGCAACCACAAATGGATTGTATAAAAGGCACACACTGCACATGCACACCACCCGTGATCTGCCTTTTTCTTGGGGGTTGGGGGTGTAGTTGGTTGTAGAACTTTAGTTACTAATTGTTACACATATTAGCTGTTAGGCACGCATATACATTTACACACACAAATCAAGTTAATATCTGTTATATGAATTCTTAATTTGAATGAAACATGCACTTTGCTTCCCTAAAGATTTTGTTGAACTCATGTGCGTGTCTGTTTTTTTTATTTTTTATTTATGGCCAATATACTTTAATGTTTAAACATAATTGCATATACATAACATGTATTTTTTTTTCTCTTCATAATGTTCTATTTACACATAGCTGAGGTAGATTGTTGACATGCACATTGCCTTAGGGGCCTGTTTACATCCATCCGCATGTAAAGTAAATTATTAATCTGTCTGGCTTTTTTTTTTTTTTAAACAAAATCCGTATCAACTTAAATATTAATCCGCAAGTATGAAGTTTGCAAAATGCAAAGAGGGCATGCAAAGAGAGCAGTTATTTATCAACTGCATGGTAAAGTCATAAACTGATATTTAAAGTGAGGAAGACAGTAGTTTTCAGTCTCAATTTACAATGTTGCTGATACATAGAGCAACCACTAGGTGTCACTACAGACAAAGCAGTAAAGATTCATTAACGGTTTGAGTGGAGTGTCCAACAGCAAATTATTTTATTATTATTATTATTATTATTATTATTACTGGTATTTTTAAAGCACCAACATATTCCACAGCACATTATGTGTGTACAGTGGGGATAAATAACAGCTAGTAAGAGTTGTAAAAAATCGTTACAAGAGGCGCGGAGGTCCCTGTTTAAAACGAGTTTACAATCTAGGAATTTTCTTCTTCCATTTATACTTGGGGTCCAGAATAAAATAAAATCACTCAAGGTTCAGCTGTGACTTGTTCACCTTACAGAGCAAAACACATAGGGAAAAAAGACAGAACAGCTAATAATGATTATTCTAATTGTATCAATAATTAAAAAAAAATATATAAACAATACTCCACAGCCATTGGTCAGTAGGAACAATCTACTTTCAACTACTGACAGGAGAGTGAGGGGAATCCACACTGGTCGTGGTAAGTCACTGGCATTGCCGTAGACGCTTTTCCATTTATCTACTTGTCAATAAAGTACATTATTAACTGTGCCTCTGCATAGGGATTTAATCTTGAAACTAAATTATTCAGAGTTTATGTGCAGTTGTGTTTTTGTGGCTATCACAATATATAAACACAATTTTGCCTACAAAAGGTCTGTAAAAGCATATGGGTAATTTCTGTTGCAGAAAATCTAGAAGAAAATCTAGTGATTTAACATTTGCAGTAAGTAAGGATACAGCATAATGGCTTTACTACCGCACGGTTCTCTTTCAATATCACATAAGTATTTCCTACTTTGAAAAGTTACTTGGCAAAGGAACCCATTTCCCATACAACATTTATTCCATAAATACAGACTTCCATCATTTGTTGTAAAGGATTATCACATATCGAGATTACACTGAACAAAAGGGGCTTAAAACCTGGACAATAAAATGAATTTAAAGGACCACTATAGTGCCAGGAAAACATACTCGTTTTCCTGGCACTATAGTGCCCTTAGGTTGCCCCCACCCTCAGGGACCCCCTCCCGCTGGGCTCTGGGGAGAGGAAGAGGTTAAATACTCACCTTTCTCCAGCACCGGGCGGGGAGCTCTCCTCTTCCTCTTCGGCTGAATGCGCATTCATAATGCTTTCCTATGGACGCTGGTGTCTTCTCACTGTGATTTTCACAGTGAGAAGCACGCAAGCGCCTCTAGAGGCTGGATTAACCTATTTATAAACATAGCGGTTTCTCTGTAACTGCTATGTTTATTAAAAAAAAAAAGGGTTAACCCTAGCTGGACCTGGCACCCAGACCACTTCATTAAGCTGAAGTGGTCTGGGTGCCTATAGTGGTCCTTTAACAAGGGTACATCTGGTGCCCTTAGTGCTTCCATTAGATGTGTTATCTTTAAATGTCTTAAAAAGACATAATTTCAGCTTCAAAGATAGTTGACCACAGAAAGTTTGGCCCAACATTGAGTCTGCATGAAAAATATATTCTAGCCTTATGTTTGTGCCTTGCAGTAACACCCAGACAATGCAAGTAACACAGGCATTTCATTAGATAAGAAATCCCTCTTTCCAGAAGAAAATCCAGAGTAGAAATCCACTATTGTTTGTGGTTAGCCCATTGACTTTTAAGGCACCCAGGCTACATTAGCATTTAAAACCGTAAAGTGTAGATATGGTACCATCTTTTTAAAAGAAAAATTGGAAGTGGGGGTACACCCGGAACTAGAATTTCTCAGCAATGATGCTGCTGTAAAGACTGAAATATATACAAAATACAGATTAAGGAACAGCACACACACAAAGTTTTATATTTTACAAGGCTACTTAAATTCACCCACCTCAGTAAACAAATATGGGGATTCAGTTCCACCATATGTCTATAAAGTCTCATAGTACGTTATGTCTATGACAACCATACCTTCAGTAAATAGATATTCACACAAAAAATTAATTAAGGAACGGTACACATTAGAATCTTTTTTTTTTTTTACTTTATAAGGCTACTTAAAATCAGCCATATCAGCAAACAAATATGGGGATTCAGTTCATATGGCCATATTGTGTTAAGCCCACCACTACCTCACAGTACCCCAATATCGGTGGATCCTACACTAATTTTAACATGGGAGATTTACATGCTAACTTGCAATACTGACTGCTTAAACTGCTTCTAGAGACTCTACAATTTATGTTCTTCTGTGGTCACCTCCAAAGAGGCAGCTGGAGGGGTGGTTTCCTCAGCCCAATAAGAATCTGGTCGGGATTCCAAATATGCACGGAAAATGAATTGGGTGCACACCCAGAACATGCATTTCTCAACAGTGGTGCTGCTGTAAAAAAACAACATACATATTAAAGAACAGTGCACACACACAAAAAAATACAGTTTTACATTTTTCAAAGCAACTTAAAATCCTCAGTCTCTGCAAACAAATATGGGGGTTAGTTCCACCACCTGGGCACATGGACTTGGGCTACATTACTATTTATGTCAATGTATATAATTAGAAATACATTGACTAGAGAGTGTGTTATGTTGTATTTACAATAAAATATTTGATCATACATTTTAAATTAAACAAAAAAAAAGTCAGGACAGATGGATCTCACTGGTATCCATCGGTGAATATTATTTTTCTCCCTTCAAACATAGTTTGAAAGCAGTTCATGTGCTATCTCGGTGCTCCTCTGGCTTGAGTTCACTCATGCGAGATTCAGCACTGTTGGAGCAATGCCATGGTAACTGCGGCAATGCTCCAAAATTACAAGAGGAAAATCCTGGAAGAGCTGCAGGCTACCGGGTCTCTCTCTCCTTACCTCTGCTGCAGTAAAGTGCCAATGGGACGGTGTGAGAGATCTTTGATTGTACCACTGGAATGCGGAGGAACACAGCAAGGTGGGCGCTTGGATAGCGCCAGTGTACAGGCATTGCATGGGCTGGCATCTCCCTTTGATCTCCCCTGTTGGCCTCAGCTCATGGTCACCATACCAGAGGCATTTGCCCGACTGCCAGACTGGGCCTGCACACACATAATAGCTGCAGTATCCACCTTCCTACAACCTCTATCTCAGGGCTCGATTAGGAGCCAGTTTTTTGTTTTTTTTTAAACTAACAAAGTTTTTTTTCTACAGAACAAGAAGGCTACATGTATGTTTGCACACGTGGGGGATCTTGATTGTGATGTAACCAGCAAACACAGTGGAAGCGTGTAATTAACTTTGCTTTATTTATTTATTTTAAAGGGGGTGTATTATTAAAACACTGTTTTTGGCTGGATTAACCCCTTAAAAGTATTTTTGTCACTGCAGGTGTTGTAGTCATGACTGTGCGGCTCTCACACAGACCTGATTGCTGGCTAGCACGCACATATTAACTGTGTGAAAGCGGCACAAAGTAAGGGGATTAAATATAGAATGTGACAGCAGACAAGAACCATTCAGTCCATCTAGTCTGCCCAATTTTCTAAATACTTTCATTAGTCCCTGGCCTTATTTTATAGTTACAATAGCATTATGCCTATTCCATGCATGCTTAAACTCCTTTACTGTGTTAACCTCTACCACTTCACCTGGAATGCTATGCCCGACTGCCAGACTGGGCCTGCACACACATAATAGCTGCAGTATCCACCTTCCTACAACCTCTATCTCAGGGCTCGATTAGGAGCCAGTTTTTTGTTTTTTTTTAAACTAACAAAGTTTTTTTTCTACAGAACAAGAAGGCTACATGTATGTTTGCACACGTGGGGGATCTTGATTGTGATGTAACCAGCAAACACAGTGGAAGCGTGTAATTAACTTTGCTTTATTTATTTATTTTAAAGGGGGTGTATTATTAAAACACTGTTTTTGGCTGGATTAACCCCTTAAAAGTATTTTTGTCCCTGCAGGTGTTGTAGTCATGACTGTGCGGCTCTCACACAGACCTGATTGCTGGCTAGCACGCACATATTAACTGTGTGAAAGCGGCACAAAGTAAGGGGATTAAACATAGAATGTGACAGCAGACAAGAACCATTCAGTCCATCTAGTCTGCCCAATTTTCTAAATACTTTCATTAGTCCCTGGCCTTATTTTATAGTTACAATAGCATTATGCCTATTCCATGCATGCTTAAACTCCTTTACTGTGTTAACCTCTACCACTTCACCTGGAATGCTATTCCATGTATCCACTACCCTCCCAGTAAAGTAATACTTCTTGATATTTTTAAACCTTTGCCCCTCTAATTTAAGACTATGGTAAGAGAATGGTAGTAGTAGCTGAAAAAACCTGCACTAGAAGGGGGGCCCCCGATCCCCCATTGCCCTAAAGGGGGCCCTGTGAGCTATCAGTCCGCCCCTGCTTACAAAACATCTATACTTACATGTTCTTTAATGTCACACACCAATGTACTCTACGTGTCATGAGGCTTAAATATCACTTTAAATTCCACAGTGACACATATTCTGTTATATGAGAATGCACATAGAAATAAAGTGCACTGTTACAATGGTAAACATATTGTTGACCAACATCTGACATTGAACTGTTTGTAGATGGGAATCTGGAACATTTCTTTAATGCTTGGCCTTCAGCAGATGGGACGAACCCTAAATAACTCCTGCGGGAAAAACACAGAGGCAGTTGCAGGATGAAGATTGCTTAGAAATGTGGTGTTTGAGTACATTATGACAGCAATTCATTGCTTTGAATATTGGAAGAGACTGATATGGAAAAAAAAGGTAAGAAAGGAATATACCAGAACCCAGATAAACCTCAGCATATTTAGATTTTAATTTCCAAAGCTAAATCAGTATTGAAGTAGCATCAACAAAGTCAGATCTACTTGAGACATTAACCCCTTAAGGACTAAGCCAAATGTACACGTTTTGATCAAAATAAAACGTAAACAAAACTTTTGGAATTTGTATGTTTGTTCAACCGTATTTCACCTCTTTCATATTAAGTGCACCCACACTCATTATATATCATTTTATTGTTCAAGTATTTAGGAGAAATTCAGCTTTCATTTACCATCAAATATTTAGCTATGAAACATAATTTAATATGTATAAAATATAAAAAAATTGAGAAATTAAGAAAATTTTTTTTTTTTTAGTTCTGCCTGACATTTTAACTGTGAATGTCATAATACTGTTTGCTTTAACTGCAATAAAATACACATATTTGTACTCAGCGATGACTCACGTGTAAAACTGTACCCCCTTGTACAGGTTTTATGGTGTTTTGGGAAGTTATAGGGTCATGTTACATTTTTCAGTTTTTTCACACAATGATGGCATACCATTTGCAATACTAGACAACCCAAGCTATTGCAAATGGGGTATGTCCAGTCTTTTTAAGTAGCCACTTAGTCACAAACACTGGCCAAAATTTAGTGTTAATATTTGTGTGTGAAAAATGCAAAAACAAATTTGAATGTAAATTTTGGTCAGTGTTTGTGACTAGAGCCGGGTCCCCAAGGACGGTATAGCACCGGGTTAAGAAAGAAGTGTACAATTAACTAAAGTGAGAATTCAAAGTGACTGTTTTAAGATTTAAGGCCAAAAAAAAACTCTCCAAGTCAGTTATGCTTTCAGTTGAAATTCATGTTTGAGTTCAGTAAATAATGCTGTAAGCTGTGCACTTATATATGCCTCATGCTAAAGGCTATGTTTACAATTTCTTTGCCAGGTGTTCAGGCACAGCTTATACTGAGGTATGGCACATTTGCTGCACTTTTTGATGCATTTTCTAGATCTTTTTAAGGGCTGACAGTCATGTCTCAAGAAAGACAGGTGTCCAGCTTCTGTACAACTGTATAAAGAAAATTCACATACTGAGCAGAGTCAGGAGCAAAGATGTCATAGAGATGTAGATTTCATCCAGTAAACAATACCTCCAAGTGTCCCTGTTTAGGAGAGGTCCCTCTGCCCCTCTTTTCGAATGTCCCTCTCTTGTAGGACCTTCATATTGTTTGTGTGTAATAATACTCATGGTGATGTTTATTTAAACTACAATAAATGTGTTTAGAAATCAGTCCTGCAAATAAGATACGTTGCTATTGTTCTATATCACATTTTAGTAACATAAATTGTTATTAGTAAGTCACTTAAAATTATCAGAACAGCAGCGTCCCTGGCCACACCCCCTGTTACACAACTAAAATTAAAGTGTCCCTATCTGTCCATTTGAAATGTTGGGAGGTATGCATTAAACAATGTGTAATTATATTGATTTGCCTGGGTTCCAGCATCACCGTGTTATCTCATAAGTTCATAAACTGCTTCTATAGTAGCAAATACATGTTCACATTTGAAGAATTTGAACATTCTTCTGTTCTATATCTAACTGCTATACCCTTTATTTCACCATTTAGAGTATCATCATAGGCATTCATATAGCACCAACGTATTTTGACAAGACATCAAATGAGTAAAAATATTTTAAATATTTTGTGTTTATATATACTTTTAGTGTTTTAATACAGAGGTGTGTTTGCATGTAGTGTTGATGTTTGAATGACGGGGTGTGTGTAAGGCTGGCTTTAGCTGTTTGCACCCTTTCCTCTATGTCCTCTCCTCCTCTCTCCCTCCCGTGTGGCTCAGTCTCTGCCAGGCTGTCAGTAGGACCGGACCTCTGTTACACACGCTTATCGGATGATCCTAAGTGCATGGGAATGCCCACGACCCCACTGATTGTGCAGGCTGCAGTTGTAGTACCATCGCTGGTTGGCCCCACTGCCGGACATAAATTCCCATGACTTCTTGGGGGGAGCATTTGGACTACTGGATCGGCCAGTGTATGCCACTCAGTGGACCTGGATATTGTGCTTACATTTTGCAGGTTTACTGGTGTACCAGGTTACATTAAGATGTCATATCTGGAAACACTGATTAAGTATTGCCTCTAGAGAACTCCCATTTCTTTATCCAAAAAGGAACCAAAAGTTGTCAAAATGAGAGAAAGACCACTACTAAAATGGGTGGAAATGGTCAGTGAGTGACTAGAGTTCTGTTCTATTTCTTTACCTACATAATAACAGTTTTACCTGGTATCTTGCAAAGTGAGGTCAGACCTAGAGCCAATCCTTGCAATGTTCCTGGGTCGAAAAAGCTAAAGGGTATTCAGCGCTAAGCAATAACTGGAACAGTCCAAAGACTTACTAAGTTTTTAAATATTTTTGTATGATTATGTTAATTAATTTTGGTCATGTGACCTGTGATGTCACAGAACCATTATTTTCAAATCCCCCCCCTATTTAAGCAGCTTAGGTTCCCCATGTCTGTTAAACACTTTTAAGAAAGCCTCTTGCCAGGTGAAACGCGTTACTTGTATTTATTATTATCTACCTCACTTTGAATCTGGAACATTTTTCTTGTTTTATATTAACTACCTTTAAATAAAAGTACTTTTTTATTGGGCCAACCATTGCTGCTATTGTGCTTGAACTACCGTATTCGTGGTGGGGATTGTACCACCCAAGCCCGAGAGATAGAGCAGTCCACATTTGCTCCATCAAATGTGAGTAAATAGGGGCGGGGTCTGAGCACGGAGCTGAGTGGAAACATGCAGGCACAGCTCCCGCTCTGCACGACACTCAAACCAACTAAGAGACATATTACAGACCAGAAACTATATAAAATGGGCTACCAGCAGAAAGGCGAAGCAACGCTGAACGTTTCAGTACCACACACGAAGCTATAGCAGCCGATATGGCAATCAGTTGACAAGCAACCTGATTGCCGGGGGAGGTGGCCGACCTCCCGACACAGGGTCAGCACCGCATGGCAGCTTTCCTGTTGCCCTGCAACCCCCCTATGGACCGGTGGGGGATATCCTGTTCCCCACTGGAAACACATTCTCGCCCGACTCGGGGACAATCACTGTCCGACGGCAAGTCACGCGAGGCGCCCAAGATGGCCGCCATACCACACTCTGAGCAAACCACGGAGGATCCGGGGCTCCAGCAATGGAGACGGTGCTTCGAGGCCATGTTCAATCAAATTTGCCAAGCATTTTGGAGAAACCTACAACACAGGACTCCACCTCAAGCCTCACACGTGAAGCAGGAGAACATACTGGCAGCGGTCCGCCCCACCCACTCCAGGTGGGGGACCCACGCTGGGGCGCACCCACATCGCCACCCTCCCAGCCGGAAGGCTCCTTGCAAGCTGATGAACCTCGAGAACCTGGCACACACTGGGCTAAGAACTGCCGCACTTAAATCAACCAGCCGACACCTCACAAAGCAGCGAACAACTAAGAAGCAACGGAGAGTAGTCGGTTACAGCCAGCAAAGGAGTCTCCACTACAGACGTATCTCTGACCACTCAGACCAAGCGGAGGGCTACCGGAGAGACCCGAGCAGCAACTCCCGTCAACGGGCCATCCATCAAACGTAGGGACCCACCATGGAGGAGAACAGCGAAGCCACCTACCTCTAGGACAGCGGACTGTGTTACTTAACTCTGAATCCGCCATGATATAGATGGACACCATCTTACCTTTACCATGCTGTAAGGACTAAACCGTATTCCAGCGGTCACTCTACCCAGTAAGCGCTGATTGTGTGACGTTATATCTCTCACTACTTAAACCCAAATCGTATTTTCAAAGCATGTTGTTAAAATTGGACATACATGAATAGCCTGCAACCCAGCTACTTACATAAAGACATGTGCGATAGCATTACACTTCTGTTTACACTACCATATACCTACCATACCTAACATGCATACACATCCTGGATACTCACCTAGGCAACTCACTCTCACGCTGTCAGCTAGAATATTGAGAGCTCAACACATTGCCTTATCACTGTTTACTAATATATGTTCAACGCATCATCTCTTGACTATATGCCTAAAACTGTGTCCAGCTTGTTTCAACACAAATACAAAAATGTGCAGATTCCATGTGCCAAATTGAATGCTTGTTGCTTCTCTATGCGTGCTGTTGTGGCACTTCACAAATGCCTGTACCTTTCTTGCACAGAAAAATAAAGAATATAAGAAAAAAAAAAATAGTATGACACAGAACAAATGTAATTTGCGGGAATGAAATCTGTACTCATATATTTAAGGTTTTCTTCCTTATTTTATATCTTCCCTTCATATATTCACTTTTCTTCTAACTTACATTTAAAAAAATTTTAATTTAAAGGTCTACTTGAACTCACCATAGCCATTTCAGATAATCCATCAAAACAATGTGATCATTGTTCTTTAAACCCCCACAACTTCTGTCCATTTGTATCATCCCATTATTTTTAGTCCAGAGCTGTCACCTCTCTGTTTTCTTGAGGTCCATTTTCTTCACCCAGTTTCCCTTTCCCTATACTCCAGCCTTTGCATTAATAAAACCAAAATATGTAACCCTCAAAAAAAATAAAAAAATGTGAGTATATATCTTACCACTTTAATTGTATTTTGTGCTTTACGGTACACACTATTTTGGTTTTTCTTTTTCCCTTTTCTCCTATATTTCTGGAGGGAAAATACCATCATCTATACTTACAAGTGGGCACTACACTATAATATCCTAAGCCCATATCCGCAGAGCTGCTTATGTTTCCACCATCTGAGTAACCACACTATATCCATAGGCGGGGATTGTTCCGCCCAGGCGTTCAAGTTGGAGCTACAATTTTAGCTCCAGGAAATTGTGAGTGAATTTATTTTGTTTTATTCTATTTATTTGGACAGTAACATACTACACTATATATTTTCCCTATTTTTTTCCTCCCTGCTTTTATATATATATATATATATATATATATATATATCTCTTAAGGACACTTTAGGCGCTGCACCACTTTCAATGTTCCTGGGTATGTTATCATCACATACATTTTTCATTTTTGACCTATCAGTTTGTCCTAAGTTCCTGCAAGTCAATATATAAATTATGTCTAGTCTCTGTATATCAGGTAATGGTACCTGCTAATAACACTAACATTAATTCCTTTCTGGACTTGATTAATTTGTAATTCGTACAAAAAAAACCAAACACACACACACACACACACACAATTAGCGTAATTCTGGTTATAAATGTGTTAAAGGGTATCATTACAAACCAGTTCGTTTCTCTTTGTAAACTCAAATTATAGCTGGGGGACATGATGACGTGAGGGTGTGCACGCACGTGTAGGGCGTGAGCTTGAGAGAGAGGTTTCGAGGGCCACAAGGAAGGAAGGCCGCCAGAGCAAGTAGAGAGGCAGGAAGGAAAAAAGACGGAGCAAGTGGGAGACAGTTTTGTGGCTGCGAGAGGTAGCAAGAGGGAGCTGGGGATATAGACTTTCAACGTGGATGCAGTAGTATAAAAATAGGGCGAGCAGCTGGAAGGAAGGCAGTAAACGAAAACACAAACCGAGGAGTGCAGATAAACTACGTTTATTGTATTTGTTTAATCTGAGTGGAGACTTCTTGGGGTTTGGGGAGGTCTATTCAGAAAAGTAACATAGAGCTGTGTTGTAGCAACTAGGCAAAAGGAATCAAATCATTATCTAATATAAAACAGAGGGGGGCAGGGAGGAGGGGATTTTCCTGTGCTTGAAGCTCCTTATTGTCCTTAATACAACTTACAGCCTAATAGCCCAACAACAGTGGTGGGAGTAGTGAGAGGTTGGGAATACTTATTCCTAGAGGAATAAGTATTGAGAGAGGTGGATACTAACCATCAGGTCCACCAAGCTCGTTGCCAGAAGGTTAAAAAATTTGCTGGTCTAATTATATTTTTGCAGTTTTTTCTAGAACCTAAAGTTCTTAAATAAAAAGGGGGAAAAAATAAGATATATATATAGATAGATAGAGAGAGATAGAGAGAGAGAGAGAGAGAGAGAGAGAGAGAGAGAGAGAGAATAAAATTAATTCTTTCCAAGGAAGGAGAGAATACTTGGGAAGTAAGAGTAATAATAAAAGGAAGATTAAGAAATTGACAAAGAGGGATCGGAGAGATGGTCTCAAAAAAAGGTTATGACCTTGAAAAAATGGGGAAAAAAATAAGGATGAAAAAGAGAAGGACAAAACACAAAGTAAATTACTCTTATCATACTATTTGTCTCCAGATCCAGAAACAACCAATAGGAGAAGAACAAGCTCCCCACCAAAGCTAACAAAGAAAAACATTAAAGAAGGCATTGAGCATGTACTTCAATTAACTGGACCACTTGAACAAGAAGTTATTACCAGAGAATTTCTAATTAAACTATTAGAAGACCATAGGGATACAATCACAGAAGATTTCCTGGTCTCTACTAAAGAATTGAAGGAGGAAATTAAAAGTTTGAATACAAAACTTCAGGAAAATCAAGATAATCTTGATTCCTTAAAATTTGATTTTTTAAAGCAACAGGAGGCGTATGAAATGCTAAACAACAAATATTCAGATATTCAAAAAAAATTGTCTGACCTTGGAGACAGATCAAGGAAAATCAATCTCAGAATAAGAAGAGTATCAGAAGCTATTAAAAACCAAGAAATTAAGGATGATCTATTTGACTTCTTCAAAGAAATAGCTACATAGTTACATAGTTACATAGCTGAAAAGAGACTTGCGTCCATCAAGTTCAGCCTTCCTCACATTTTTTTTTTTTTAATGTTGATCCAAAAGAAGGCAAAAAAAACTGTTTGAAGCACTTCCAGTTTTGCAACAAGCTAAGCAAAAAATGTATTTCTTGACCCCAGAATGGCAGTTAGATTTATCCTTGGATCAAGCAATTATTACCCTACATTGAAAGATTATATCCTTAAATATTTTCTTTTTGCAAGTATGCATCTAGTAGCTGTTTGAACATCTGTATGGACTCTGATAAAACCACTACTTCAGGCAGAAAATTCCACATCCTTTTTGTTCTTACAGTAAAAAATCCTTTCCTTTGCCTTAGAGGAAATCTTCTTTCTTCCAGTCTAAACACATGACCTTGTGTCCTTTGTAAAGTCCAGTTTGTGAATAGATTTCTACACAATGGTTTGTACTGGCCCCGAATATATTTGTATAATGTTATCATATCCCCTCTCAGGCGAAGTTTTTCTAAACTAAAAAGGTTTAACTTTGTTAACCTTTCTCTTCAATCTGTCATTCCTGTAAGTTTTTTGTAATTGTCCTATTTATAGTTAAATCCCCCCCCCTCTCATAATATTGTAAAGCGCTATGGAATCTGTTGGCGCTATATAAATTGCAATAATAATAAAAATAATAGCTGATATATTCCATTCCTTTTATTAATTTTGTAGCCCGCCTCTGCACTTTTTTTAGTGCCATAATATCCTTCTTTAGAACAGGTGCCCCAAATTGCACAGCATATTCAATATGTGGTCTTACCAGTGATTTATAAAGAGGCAAAATTATATTCTCATCCCGAGAAAGAATGCCCTTTTTCATGCATTACAATACCTTACTGGCCTTAGCCACTGCTGATTGACATTGCACATTGTTGCATAGTTTGTTGTCTATAACAATTACCAAGTCCTTTTCGTGTGTTGTTATCCCTAATTCCCTTCCATTTAGGGTATACGTTGCTTGTGCATTCTTTACGCCGAAGTGCATAACTTTGCATTTTTCAACAATAAATTTCATCTGCCATTTCAGTGCCCAGTCCCCCAGTCTATCTAAATCCATCTGCAGCAAAGTAATATCTTGCTCACATTGTTTTATTTTACAGAGTTTTGTGTCATCTGCAAACACTGAAACATGACTTTCAATGCTTTTTTCAAGATCATTTATAAACATGTTAAATAGAAGGGGTCCCAGAACAGACCCCTGAGGGACACCACTTGCCACCTCTGTCCAGCTTGAAAATGTACCATTACAACTCTTTGTACTTTTTTTTTAGGCCAATGTTCTACCTAAGAACAAGCATTTTCATCTAGACCAATTTCCTTGAGTTTGAACACTAATCTTTTGTGTGGAACTGTTTCAAATGCCTTGGCAAAATCCAAATAGATCACATCCACTGCAACACCCTGATCTATACTTCTACTTACTTCTTCGTAGAACACAATCAAGTTAGTTTGACATGACCTGTGCTTCATAAAACCATGCAGATTTTTGCTGATAACCATGTTCTTCTCAAGGAATTTTTGAATATTATAGCTTAATAACCTTTCAAATACTTTTCCAGTCAACTAAGTTAAGATCACAGGTCTATAATTTCCAGGCAAGGATTTTGAACCGTTTTTGAATATAGGAACCACATCTGCCCTCCTCCAATCCTCCGGAACACTTTCTGAAAGAAAATCTTGAAAGATTAAAAACAGAGGTTCACTTATTTCTACACTTGGTTCCTTAAGTACTCGTGGATGGATACTGTCAGGCCCTGGAGCTTTGTTTATATTAACTTTCTTTAGTTGCTGCAGCACCTTGTTTTGAGATAACCAATTACAATTATTCTGCAAGTTTTTAGTAGCAATCATTTGCACATCTATTGCCATGGGTTCTTCCTTAATATATATGGAGGAGAAGTAGTTATTTAAAATTCCTGCCTTTTCCTGGTCTTCATTAACCTGAGTACGCAACCAAGAGATATTATTGTCAGCGTCCACAATTATATCTACAAAGAAGAAATTTGGAAAGCCAGGAATAACCAAGACTTAAGCAATGGAAAATATAAGAATCCTCAGAATTTTAAACGATCTCTCCAGCCATACTCAAGTTAAAACTTTGCACAGATATATTAGTAAAGGAAAATATCAGATTTGATTTGCTTAATCCAGAAAAAATTGTCCTAGCATATAGAGAATAATTTTTTTTAAATATATTCTAATGAACAAGGCCTACAGCTGCTAAAAAAAAGTGGAACCTCAACTCCGGATTCCAAGGGACAGAAAATTTGGAGATCCCTCCACTATCAAAAAATTCTGAAATGTCAAACACAGTATAGGAAGAGAGTCCCAATATTTTAATTAACCTCATATAGTGGTCGCACAATTACTTTTTTTTTTTTCACTCATGTAAAATGGGAGAATCAAGCATATCCCCAATCTCTTGCTCAAACATCTATACTTGCTAGCTTCATAGAAGAGCTTCATTTAAGAATTTGGATTGATAGGCGTGTCAATGGGGGCAGATTTAAAGACACAGTGTATCCAGATGTATGAGTGTGATAGAAGACTGAGGTCTGTGGAATGTTTGAAGGGGGTAAGTTTGGGTAGGGGTTGTGGACAGAGAAGGAAGGGCAGAGGGATTGTTTTAAGGAGGAAGAAGACATTTATGGGATGATGCTAAAGCTTTGCCCAATTATTGCACAAGGGTTGAACTCAATACTAAAGAGGAAAAAACTACTAGACACGTTGAATCAAAATAAGATAGATATTGCACTAATAGAGGAAACACAATGGACACAATCACAGAAGAAATTAATCTACGATAGACAACACCCATACCAGTTTCAATCCTGTAAGGGCCTAAGAGTAAGGGCACGTTAATTCACAAAGAAATAGATAAAAAGGGGAGATGTATTATTTTACTTTGCACAATTAATAAAGAAATGTTCACTATTGTTAATGTGTATGCCCCAAATGAAAACCCTATAATATTTTTGAAGCATTAATGTCACTAGTAAATACAATTTCACAAGGTAAATTAGTAATGGAAGGTGATTTAAATTCAATTAGTGATGTGGATATGGACAAAATTCAAATAGAAACAGAAATATAAATAGTAAACATAAGAAAGAGAGGGAGGGTTAGAATCTCCAAATGTGGTTAAAATTCATGATGCAATAATGTTGGCACATATGGTAAAATGGTGCAAATGGGAAACACATCAACAGTGGCAATACATGGAAAAACACGAATATGCAGACAAAGATTTAAGACTTATGTTTTGGTCACCAGAATTGCATAGATCTATTAGTAATCCCATAAGTAAAGATTTAAGCCTGGCTTGGAACAATCTTAGGTATAGATATCTGTTACCATATAACCTTAAATACTGTATACCAGTTGAGGTGTTGGAAATCTTAATAGGGAATATTAATCTATAAATTAATTGGATAGTTGGGGGAATGAGATTTAAGTACCAGACAATAATAGACAACAAGACCATTACATTCGAAGATATAAAAGCTCTGTTCAATCTCCAATTCAAGGAACTGTTTAACTATCTGAGGGTTAAACATTATTTGGAAAAAGAAGTTCTAAATACAAATCTCATAAAAGACAAAAGATTTGAAGATTTGTGATTAGGAAAGAAGAGTAAACAGATAAGCAAATTAACCTTTAATGTTACAGATAAGCAGCGTGAGTTTAGTATGATGGCCCCTATAAAAAAATGGGCTGAAGATATTAAGCTTACTATAGAGGGAAAACAATGGATGGAAGCAATTAAATTCACTAAATCAGTTACCCATAATATAGGATTATTGGAGGTATACTACAAAGTACCATTTAGATGGTATTTAACTCCAGTTAGATTTAAAAGGATTAATGGAGAAAATGGAAAATGTTGGAGGTGCTGGGAATTAGAAGGCACTTATGTCCACAAATGGTGGGAATGTAAAAGAAATGGAAACTTTCTGGGTTAAATTATTTCTTCTAATATATATCATAGCCAGGGCCAGATTAAGAGCCCATTGGGCCTGGTGCTGACAATTATGATGGGCCTAATTACAGAATCTTACCGACTGAAAACACTAAAATAGTCATACCTCCCTAGCATCATTTGTCTGGCAGAGATGGTGCTGGAGGGAAATTCACAGGATATAGCTATCATAAAACACATACCCTATGCTAATTCTCTCGCTTTATATCTTTCAAGTAAATCCATACCCCCAACAGAAGTGTCCATCCGGTGAAGCAGGATGTCGGTGGGTGGCGTAAAAAGGGTGCACAACTGAGCCAAATCACTTAACCAGAAACGCCCACAGGGGTGAACATGCCCAAAGGGAGGCATGTCTGCCCAAAGAATTGGAAGGCCAGCCTGGCGTAAATGCATGTCATGCTACCTGCCAATCATGCAGGCTGGACAACTAAGGGCATACTATGTAGACAGCACCCTGAGCTTGACATAAATATGTCTAATAATGCGCTTTCTCCTCGCTTTCTAAGGACTGTCCCCTAGCACTCATTTGTCTACTCCTCACCCTACATTTTTACTAGCATATAGTCTAGGACAGAGAAAAGTTGTATGTAGTGAGTGTAGAAGCACATGCCACAGTGTTAGAAAGACTGAAGCAGAAAGAGCATTTGCATAGGGCGCTAAGTCAGCTTTACCTTAACTAATGCCATTGTCAGCTAGCCCATACAAGTTTTGTTCCCCTACATCCCTCTTAAGTTTACATACTTAAGCAAGAGCATGTGAAGAGTAGTAAAAAAAAAAAAAAAAAAAAAACATTCTTAGACCTATTCCATAGGCATGGGCCCGGAGCTGCAGCTCCATCAGCCCCTATGTTAATCCGGCCCTGATCATAGCAGATACTAAATTACAACCAAACATTGTAATGGCATTATTCCATATCGGCTTGTCTAAATTGCCGGTAGGAACTAGAGAGGTAATCCTCCATATGCTTTTAGCCAGCAAACTCCACTTAGTAAGAAAATGGAGGACAGAGGAAGATTTAGATTTAAAAGATATATTCTTACAAACGGAACATCAAGCATTAATGGAAAAAGGCTATTATCTGAATAATAAAATGGGTTTGGAAGGATATTGGAAGAAATGGTCAATATGGTTAAAAAACAACAACCTAATTCTCGCAAATATTAATGAAACCTATTAAGGATTATAATACTATATGTATATTTAGAAGGTAAAGACACAAAGGTGCCCCCTCTCTCTGCAACAGAAGGAATGAATGTGTATGTATGATGGTATGAATGTTTAAGTCATCAGGTCTTCCAAATAATGAAATTATAGTTAATCCTCGCTAAGAGCAGTATTTGTTATTAAAGCAGCAATTTTTGAATTTTAGAACTTCACATATAAAAATGTTTAATACAAGAGAGGAGCTAGATTGATATGAAAGAAGGGGTAGGGTCACGCGTGGGAATAATAGGGAGGGAAGATATAAGAAGGAGCACGATAAAAAAAAAAGAAAAAGAAAATATGGTGAAAAGGATATATACTTAATGAATAATATCACATATACCATTCTGATCTATTTCTCCCCCAAAAAAAGAAAATGAAAAAGAAGAAAAAAAAACTCAAAGTATAATCAAATCGTATTGCAAATATATCAATAATTATTAAATAAATCTACTGGCAACATAAAATGTATGATACGATGTCATTCTATATGCAGCTTATATATTTGATAGAATGTAGCATGTGTTAATGACCAGTGGCTGCTTCTTGCAAATGATTCTTTAAAAGCTCCATATGTCCAAGTGCTCCCATTAATTTCTAACCAGATACTTTCCATCCCCATGAGGTTAAAACTCACATGGTGAAGGTTATACTCTATCCTAGGAATGTGACCTTGCCACTTAACCCCATTTACTCAATTCTTGATCCAATGAGACGTCATGCTTTGTTCAAAAGCATATCTGCACATAAATATAAGAAAAAAACAACCATTTAAAGAGGCCCTCCTCCACTCCCTGACACTGTTACTCAGTGACACCTTAAAGGAACACTATGTATTCATAACGCTATAAAGCCCTAGTCACCGTTTAGGTTTTTTCACAAAAAACAAAATTGCCACACAAAACTTTTCAGTTCGGGTTCGCTCAACTCTAATATTGATACTTTAGAGAGAGTTCAGAGAAGGGCTACTAAACTGGTTCATGGATTGCAGGATAAAACTTACAAGGAAAGGTTAAAGGAGGATAGAAACATTTAAATACATAAAGGGAGTCAACACAGTAAAGGAGGAGACTATATTTAAAAGAAGAAAAACTACCACAACAAGAGGACATAGTCTTAAATTAGAGAGGCAAAGGTTTAAAAATAATATCAGGAAGAATTACTTTACTGAGCGGGTAGTGAATGCATGGAATAGCTTTCCAGCTGAAGTGGTAGAGGTTAACACAGTGAAGGCGTTTAAGCATGCGTGAGAAAGGCATTATGCTATCCTAGATATAAGATAAGGCCATGGACTAATGAAAGTATTTAGAAAATTGGGCAGACTAGATGGGCCAAATTATTCTTATATGCTGTCACATTCTATTTATATTAAGCCGTAGTGTTTCTGGTGACTATAGTGACCCTTTAACACCGTAATGGCATGGAATTGATCAGGGAGAATGCAGGCACATGATCTAGTTACCCAAACTGCTTCATTAAGATAACGTTTATTTGGGTGGATGAGGAAACTCCAGCATCAATCCCCAGCTGACTAATCTTGACCATGCTCTTGAATCATCTATTAAAACATTTGCTTATTACTACAGGCTTTATATCCAAGTGCTCAACACACGGTAAAGTCCATTGTTGATTTACTGTTATAAACACTCACTACAAAGGCTCTGTTTGCACTAATTTTGTCTCAGTTGGTTCTCCATGCTGAACACCCTGTTGCTTAGAAATTCCAATTATTGTTTAAATACAGGAATTTGGAAGGCTAAATAAAGGAGTACAAATACAAAGAAATGATACTGCACTCAACATAAAGAAAAAAAAATGCAGATTTATTAGCAGAACATTACCAAACGCCTAAACAAGGAACTAATATTTATGTATCAGGAGAGTGAGGATATAGCAACCCTAAAGTGACTAATGCCTATATAATCAAGGTGCCACAATCAAAGTGCTAAATATGTGCATAAAGTGCTAAAAAATACTCTATCCAAGTTCTTATGTACTTATCTAAGTACAACCAGAAAAATCACAAAATGCTAGGTAAATATTCAAATGACTATCACAATCAATACAAATTAGTTCCTGCAAGGTAATTTCATATAGTAGCATAGTGCATAGTTCATTTCATCACAGACTTTATTTAATCTAAAATTAGATTTAATCCGTAATTGTATTTAATGCAGCAAATCTGTCACTGTACAGCAAACCTGCTTGTTAATCTTCGCACAGCAAAAAAATAAAAATAAAAATAAAAAAAAAGTGTCAGGAATTCAAAGTTAATTTCAGATTTAAGGCCAAAGTATCTAAATCGGAAGCATAGCTAATCCTCTGAGTGTTATTCCTATAAACTGTCCTTTTTAAGACAAGCTTCAGTCAGTCAGAAGTTAAAGGCTAAGAAGCAGTGTAGGTGACTTCACTTTAGTAGGGCATCATCTCAGCTATGCCTTTCACAGAGCTGAATTATTCATATGGTGGCATAGGCCACCCTCCTAGGGTCTGAGATCTCCCACATACAACACTCAGCTACTACGCACCCACATATACAACAATCTCAGAAACAGAGCCTAGGGCTGTAGAAGTGGCCTCTGGCACCCTGCAATCTTAAAGGGACACTGTAGTAACTGTAACCATCCCATTCCATTGTACAGCGCTACGGAATTTGCTGGCGCTTTATAAATAATAAAATAATAATAATCCCATTGAATTGGTTATAACACCTGGAGTCCCCGACACTGTCCGACCATTTAGTGTTAAACCATTTTTGAGCAGTTCAACATTTAACTGACTGGCTACTGACAGCCCAACTTCAACTAGAAGCATGGCAGCGATTACACACTTCTTTATAACCATACCAATTCATACCAGATAAGGGTGCTGTGATACAATGAAAGTGATCAGTTGACACTCTCAGCCAGTCACAGGTGCCCATTTCCATCATCATGTTGACTCTAGTATTAAAACGTAAAAACTGTTTAACAGTGAATAGAAATAAGGTGCCAGGGTACTCCACCTCAACGATATGAAGCAAATACAGTGACTACAATGTCCTTTTTAATCCAGTTCTCGGCTTTAGCACAATCAATAGTAATGTGCTCTATTATTTCTGTAATCTCTCTACTCCGTAACAGAATATATCTAAGAAAGGATATAGCACCTCTGTGACCAGTCATAAAGGGAAACAGAGGGAAATACATGTATCAATGCCAGTATGTGTCTGAGATCATCAGTACAGCCAGACACTTGGGGTGGAGGCAGGGGAATGATTTTGCCGTAGAGAATTTTCCATTCATTGATTTTCATCTCGCTCTCCCAGGCTCTCTATTATCACATGTGAAAGAGAGATCTCATACAGTAAATGCACATGTACAGAATACACTGTAGTTTTGCTACATCATTCACCATGAATTCTAATCAGTTTAAAATGTCTGCCCTGGTCCCTAAAAATTAATAGGCTCCTTTTTATCTTATATTCGCTCCTTTAGGAATGTATATTCCAGTAGGGTAGATATGATGCCTAAATACGGTTTGGTAACAGCTGTTCAGTTGCAGCAGCCAGGAGACCTCCAAAGTACACAGGAAGATTGGAGGTTACATGTGGGTTCCAGAGAAGAATGACTGGGCTGCTTATATTGTGCATTGAACAGTAGGAGCCAGCAGAAAGAAATTGGTAAAAGGCAGGGTTTAGCAGAGAGCGCACACTAACAAAGCATTATAAGGGTGTTCAGCATGGAGAACCAAATGAGACAAAATTAGTGCAAACAGAGCTTTTGTAGTGAGTGTTTATAACAGTAAATCAACTACCGTGTGTTGAGCACTTGGATATAAAGCCTGTAGTAATAAGCGAATTCAAGAGCATGGTCAAGATTAGTCAGCTGGGGATTGATGCTGGAGTTTCCTCATCCACCCAAGCAACACTGAAGCTTCTATAGCTTTAAACAGACACTACAGGCACCCAGACCACTTCATCTTATTGAAGTGGTCTGGGTGCAGGACCAAGGACTAAGAAAGCCACTAGAGGCACTTCCGGGAATTTACCAGACTCTGGTTTGCCTTAATGACGCTGGACGTACTCATGCTCTGATGTGTTATTAGGTCCCCCTTTCAGATTATGTCCGAAGAGGCAGAGCACCAACCCAGCACCAAGTGGACATCAGTGCTGGAATCGGGTGAGTAAATAAAGTTTGTTTTTTTTACTTTTTATGTTCACAGGGGGAGGAGCCGGGCACAATGGACGGGGGGACTAGCGGGCACTGTAGTGTTAGGATTACAGATTTGTATTTCAAACATTATAGAATCCCTTTAAATTATTCAAAATGATATCACACTGAATGTAAGGTTGGTAACAGGAAACTTTAGGCACTCTAACCTCCTCGATGACATGAATCATTTACAGTGCCTACAGTGTCTCTTTAACTCATACTTCAGTATAGAAAAAATATTAAAAAGGGAAATCTGTTTCCATATTTTCTCCTACAATAATTTAAATACAATTGATGCAAAGACAACTAAAGACTAATCCCTCAAAGCAGATAAAACAATTTTCATGATTTGAAAAATACATTGCTTGCATTTGATTACCATCGGCAGCGAAGCGGTAAGTTGAAGTTTATTTTTACAGTTACAGGTTATCTAAAACTTTAAAAAATGCAAACCAGAAAGAAATATATTAACCCTGTATCACACCAATAACGGATGTGTTTTGTGTTACAAAGAAAGCTACAGATGTACTGAACCAGTTTTCTTGTTTCTTTCAAATGATGATTGGTTGGACATATTGCAAAATACAAGAATATATGACTATAATGCTCACCATCTTAAACAATAGACCATAAAAGTTTCACTCAACATTTTACTTGCATATGGGGAACAGTGATACTATTTAACGTAGTTTACATGTCAGAATTGATTTAATTTTCTGCTAGAGTTGTCATTCTCTTCAGTAATAAATATGTAACAACAAACTATGTGCAAAATAGTGCTGTATCAGTGCATAAACACAAATGAAATGTCTCCAAAGTTGTGCTCACATTATAAAATCAGAGACACTGATTATCTTAACTAGCCTTTCGGAGAACCATACCATTTAACTCTTGAGTCTTTCCTCTGTACACAGGGCTAGGATTACGCATGTTATTTGTAACTTTGTTAATATTCTAAATACGCTCAACAATAATTTTGCCTAATGCTCTTACAGTTCATCTCATAGATTGAAGTCCCCATGTTAACAAGTACACAACACTATGGGTATTTAAAAGTAATTAAAGGGATATTATAAACAAAATAACAACTTAACAAAGCAGTTTTGGTGTATAGATCATGTCCCTTGCAGTCTCACTTCTCAATTTTCTGCCATTTAGGAGTTAAGTCACTTTTATTTCTGTTTATGCAGCTCTAGCTACACCTCCCCATAGCTGTGACTCACACAGCCAACATAATTTTTTTTTAAATTTTTAAACAGATTTTACAGCACAGTGGGTTTACTTTAGGCATTCTTATCTCCTGTGCTGTTAATTGAACTTTATTTACACCGAGGATGCTCCTGCAGGTTCTAGCAACAATTAACAGAGTTGGAGATAAGAAATTCAAAATGAATCACACTGTGCAATAAGGGAAGCAAAAAGGCTTTGTGAGTCTCAGTCAGGGGAGGTGTGGCTAGAGCTGCATAACAAAGTAAATTAACTCCTAAATCGCAGAGAACTGAGCAGTTAGATTGCAGGGGCATGATTTATACACCAAATCTGCTTTATGAAGTTGTTTTGGTGCTTTGAGTGTCCCTTTAAATCTTACACAGTGTATTCTGTCCTGTGATATTTTATTTAAATGTTGTTATCTTCCTTGTACTTATTTTATTGGTGCTTTTGCAACAAATACAAGTATTGCTGTAAAAAAAAGCCTAAATTATCATTTTAGAAATGCTTCAGTACTGTTTTCATTGTTGTTAGTTAACATCGATTTTGTCTATGAATTGTATGTTTGTTAACCATTATTTATTGATTGATCTTCACTAAATCTTTAAAGGTTATAATGAAATTTAAAAAAATGAATGCAATATGATTGTTCTGATGTTTATCCCCATCAAGTCAAACCATATGCAATACAAGGCAACATGGGAGCCTCAATTGAATATTTTGTTCACTACTTTCTTTAATTGTATTTATGTTCTTCATATTTATCACACATTGCAAGACACCACGATCAAGCCTGGAACAGCAGGATTCGATCCCAAAACCTAGACTGTCCTACCAGATCTAGGACTGGGATGATTCATGAAACTACCAACACATACCAGCTGAAAGCATAGAAACCACAGGGTAATTTAAAATTATGTTTTTAAAGCATACCCATGTTAAAGGAACACTACAAATACCTAAAGAACTTCAGAGTACTGATAATGCTTTAAGTGTAAAGAGTGTGTCCCCTTTTTTCATTTTACAAAAAATACAGATTTCAATGGAAATTGGCACTTTTATAAATTAACCTAGTTGAACCCCCATGGCTGTCAGACAAGCCCTGTTACTTCCTGGTTGCTTAGCTTAGTCAAGCTAAACTCAAGAGGCTGCAATTACCCAGAGCACATATGCATGTGTATATATTTTTTCCTTTGGAATATTCCATTAGAGACAATATGGCCTATACCAGTTAATGGAACACCAGGAGCTATCATGGGGCAGAGTTAGAGTTTAAATTACTGATCTTGATGTTCTATGCTATATTCCTTTACAACCCTATTCTAAAAAAAAAATCTATTTAGTCAAACATATAAAATAAAAAGTGTAAGGCCCCTTTGCTGCAGTGACCTATCATATGAAATTCTGAAACAGGATGTTTTGCATTAGTAAAACATATGACTAATTATTGGCTATTAGAAGGTCACAATGGGGCTTTCCAACCAGCCAGATAATGAAATATTCATCAGGATTTTGTTTTCTCTGCTTAAAAAAAAATCAATGCATTGAAACTTAAAAGGGAAGTAATCGTTAAAAAAGCAGGAGCAGTACTTCTTCATCTACTGTAACACAAGCTTCCCTAATTGATTAATTGATGAGCCCCTTCCTCTATATTTTACGTTTTGGATGCTTTGGGATTGTCACTGTTATATCTGTATGCACAAAGATATTATAAACTTCTGAAGCGGTGAAATGAGAGAAAGGAGGAACAAGAGATATTGTTTATCTTGAAATGTATGGGAAAGTTAAAGGAACTTTAATTACTTTAGCTAAATAAAGCAGTTTTAGTGTATAGAGCATTTCCCTGCAATTTCACCGCTCAATTCACTGTCATTTAGGAGTTAAATCACTTTGTTTATGTTTATGCAGCCCTAGCCACACCTGATTGAAAGAGCCTGCATGAAATAAAAAAAACTGGTTTCACTTTCAAACAGATGTAATTTACCTTAAATAATTGTATCTCAATCTCTAAATTGAACTTTAATCACATACAGGAGGCTCTTGCAGGGTCTAGCAAGCTATTAACATAACAGGGGATAAGAAAATCTTAATTAAACAGAACTTGCAATAAAGAAAGCCTAAATAGGGCTCTCTTTACAGGAAGTGTTTATGGAAGGCTGTGCAAGTCACATGCAGGGAGGTGTGACTAGGGTTCATAAACAAAGGGATTTAACTCCTAAATGGAAGAGGATTGAGCAGTGAGGCTGCAGGGGCATGTTCTATACACCAAAACTGCCTCATTAAGCTAAAGTTGTTCAGGTGACTATAGTGTCCCTTTAAATCTCTTTAGGAGATACATAACTATGTTTAGTAGGTTCCAACCATATTATGTGATTGTAAAACCATATATGTCGATTTTAGCAATTTTTCCTCTCCTCTCAGTGTTTAAGTGTTCACATTTTATATAAATAGGGGTAACGGCATTAAATCATTTGCTAACCTAGGAGAAAAATGTATGTAACCATGGAAGCTGTTAAAAATGGCCATGACATCACTCTAACGTAAAAGTCAAGATGTGCATCATAGATTCCATGCCTGGATATTCTACACTATTTATATGGTTTTGATAAAAGAGAAATACATTTTAGGAAGTATACTGCGCAGCTTTGAGTTCTAGGTGGAAAAGGAAGGCATTTTACAATAAATGCTTAATACACATTTTGCTAAATTATAGGCCTTGGACAGCTGGTGACAAATGAAGGCTTCAAGTGTTTGGGCTTAAGGGTAGGCAAGTCAGAAGGAGTGCATTTTACGCTTCTTACTGAAAGTAGGTTTGTTGTGGAACAGACCTCGTTGTCTTTCAAGTATTTAGGGTCGCTTTGAACTGGATTGCTAATCTCACTGGGAACAGTTACCTTTTTGAGGTATGGGTATGATATGTTCGAAGCACATGTTATCATGTCTCTGTTGTAACATGTTCGTCCTCACCTTCTGGTGTCCGTGAGGATAACTACCTTCCTGGCATTGGTAGAGATGCTGGTCAGTGGCACTGTGCCGGTGTTTCTGGGTCCTGTGGCATACTGAAACACGCTGGCCACTGTGCATCCATACCAATTTGTAGCCCCACGTCCGCTCCCACGGTATTGATGACGTCAATGTGTGTGTGACGTCATGCAAAGGACGGCCAATCGGATTTAATGGAGACTTCTTTAAACTCCTTTCTTGCCTTCCCTTATTGCCCTGTTGTGGTTTCCCTTAGTGGTTGTGCAAGAGTGTGTTCCTGAGCGTTTATTTCTGGTTATTGACTTTGGCTTTGTTTTGACTTCCCTGTATCCTGGTATCCTTGACTTTTGGCTTTCCTTAATTGTTGTGTCTCATTCTGTGTCCCTGATCTCGGCAAGTATTCTGACTATTCTCTGGTACGTTAAGTCCAGCCATTCTAAGGCCCGGTAAGATGTTACCTTTAATCCTAGGTGTGATACAGTTCTGCGTGTTGGATCAACTAGTAATCCTGACATCTGTCTATTGTACTAGTTTGACTTTCATAATAAGAATTTGTGGAAAACAAGCTATCAAAGCATTTGTACTGTCTAGGCAGATGGAAACCAATGTATGGACCAATGCTTCAAGATGTAGTGTGGCTAGGAGTTATAATAGTCTTCTGAGGGTTTTGTAGTTGGTAGTGTCCAGCTTTGACTACTGCTGACACTACTCAAAAATGTTTAAAGTTCTGTCTAGAAGGAACTTTAAGTTTTGCACCACTGATACTAGGGTACATTAGACCAAATTTATGAGAGGTGAGTTCTTTGCATGCCACACTCAGGGCCAGATTAACGTAGGGGCTGATGGAGCTGCAGTTCCAGGCCCATTCCCATGGAATAGGCCTGTGATTGAATGCTGTCACTGAATGCCATCCCCGAGCGCTGATTGGTGCCAGTTGGTTTTGCGCCCTTTCTCCCGATTGGCCGGCGAGACACCTCCCCTCCCTGAGCGCCGATTGGTGCAAATTGGTTTGCACCCTTTCTCCTGATTGGCCGCCGCGTGGTTAGGCACAAAATTTAAATCCACTCGTCAAAACCAAGTGATTCTGTGGAGCTATTTTCGGGTATGTACAGAGCCTCAAGCCCAAACTTTGTACAACGATTTCTTGGGCTCTGTACATCCAATAGTTCTGCTATTTGCAGGGATCATAGCTGGAGCCAGGAGTTATTTGGGGATGTATGGCATGTGGGGATTGTGTGTATTTTTGTGGTTTTGGAGTGTTCGGCTTCCTGTGTCCGGGAGATACCATTATCTTTTAGACACAGTGACGGCTGGACGGGCTTATGTTTTTATGTTACTTTTAATGGAGACCCCCTGATGGGGGTCTGTGCATAGATACCGTGTATCTTGCCTGAAATAAAAAGTTCTATTTCACCCTTCACTAAGTCTCGACTAGTGTTTAGATTTCCTTAGAGGTCATCTCTGCAAGAAAACACACACTTCACCATTCCTTTAAACTAGACAAGCTTTGAAAACATTTTATAACAAATCCCAAGGGAAGAAGCAAAATCAGTAAGTGATTCAAAAGTAGGTGAAATGTTAGGTTATTGAAAAAATAACAATAAAATTTTTTTTACTGCTGAGTGGATCAATAACAGACTAGATGTGAAGAAATACCTCTTTGTGTTCGTTATTTCTCCCCTTTTCATTCGGTAGATGTAACTACCAAACAGAGACCACCCCCCTGGCTCGTTAACTTCAAAAGCATGCTTCAATTAAACCCTCTACCTGTGCATCTTGTTTGTGCGAACAAAGGCAGCGGGACTTGGTCGTCGAGTGTCTGGAACTAAAATCGGACACTCGACTTCCCGAACACAGGTCCCAACATAAGAACGCTGGATCTTTGTTTCCCGAACAACTTGCGCTATTCGGTACTTTTGTGCATTCGTATGAGGGGAACAATCGCTGCTAGGAGCCAGGGGGAACCGTTCGTGGGATTATTCGTTTATTTCAACTTCACGAAATAGACTGGCAAAACCACCCAAACTCATGGAACTGTTTTGGGCAGCAGTCTCGTGGGTAGCCGGTCACCTAAGAACTCCATGGAATTTGAGAACCCCTGAACTGATCTGGGTGATTTTTGGATATGTTGGTCACCCAGATCAGGGATACCTCATGTTTTTAGGGGTGTTCTGAAAGTTGGGGGAAAATTTACTTTTTCTGCCTAGAGATAATGAAGTTAATTATGTTATCTGCCTTAATTATATCCAGGTTCAGGGGAGGGAATTATATGTTTGCAATGGGAGTGTATAACTATTTCTCTTGTTATGATTGGCTGTACCATGTCCATCCCTGTGGGAGGTCCCCTTACACGGGGACTTGCATAAAAGCCAGTGTGGCATAATAAAGTTCAGTTCTGTTGCACCCTTCTTCTAGACTCCGGCTGATGTGTGGGTATTCGTATGCTTTACTAAGGGAATCGTCTTGTAAAGCTATTTATTCGTATGGGAATCGTTTATTTTATTTGCCGAACGAGAGTTATACCAACTGATGCTCTGGCCGTTTGGAAGGAAACTACCGAATGAGTATTGGATATACCAGGTTTCCTTACACTAGATATGTGTAAAAAATGTGTAAAAAATATATATAATATATAATATATCTAGTTTGTTATTGATCCACTCAGCAGTATTTTGTTTATTATTCATTCAATTCAATTTATGTGTGTGGGGGGAGATTAAATAATAAAGTAATTTCATAAATATTATATAAAATTATAAAATCTTGGTAAACAGCATAAAGTTATTTATAAAAAAAAAAATCATGAAACAAACAAAGACTAGACAAAACAATATATCAACTGAAAATTTACTTAGCTCTAATTGGTAACACTCAGCAGCTTATACAGGATAAATGGATCAGCATCAACTCAGGACAATGAGGTGAGTTTCTTGTTGCATGTTCAGAAGACCATGGACACCTCTAGAGACACCTGGGTTCTTTATCAGATCCAGTCATGAAACTAAAAGCCTTCTGACTCCTGACTGCTGGTTTTATAGCACTCTTAATTAGTGAATGCCCAGAGAGGCCACCTGTAGATGGACTAGTGTCTTGACTAAAGGCAAATCCTGGATTCCGTCACACATGGAAATGACTACATGAGCAATCACTTTCTTCCAAAACTACATGGCTCAATAGATGTGCGACAGCCATGTTTTGTTTTTATTCTTTTTAAAATTCTTTATTTTTCGTTGTGCAGAATAGTCCAAAAATGCCTGTAATACCATGACAGCAGAGGACAGGAATTGCAGCTTGTTCAGCACGTGCGGTTCCGCCGATGAGGTTGGCCGCAGCTCCTGGTCAGGTCCACACTAGTAGTAGCTTGGAGCCCCACAGCAACCGACAGCAAGAGTGCTCCGGGGAGGTTTCCTACCATTCCCAGTCGCTATCAGTCAGCCACCAGAGGAATAAAGTCCGCCGGTTATCAAGATTAGAAGCTAGAAAGCAAGATTTGTGAGGAGCTCCTGTTTCATGCGTCTAATCAGCATGGCGGTGAAGCCCCGCCCCTGTATGACAGCCATCTTAACTCATTTGACATCACATTATTCCATGGACCACTTACAGGTGTGAGATATCATTGTTCATGGATGGGAACGTTTAAAATTGGTTATTTGTCCATAACTAATCCAAAAGCAAAATTCATTATTTTCCAAATATTGTTAAAAATTATATTTACATCTGATGGGCCATGTTTAGTGTGACTTTGGGTGAGCATTTAAAGCAAGGCAAGAGCTTAAGTACTTAAATCATTTTGTATTTTTGTAATTCTTGTATTGTTGTCCTATTTCTTCCTCAACAGTACAATGTAAAATCCCTTTGCAACAAAACGGAATTAACCCTTTAAGAACCACACATCACTTCAGTGATCTGATATATTCCTATGGTCCCTGAAGTGGTGAATGAACCATTTGTCAGTTTGACAATGTAACCATTTAAATGCCACTCAAATAGAATAATAGTACATTTTGAGACATAACATCTGCGATAGAATGATGCAAATGTCCCTGAAGTTAGAAGCGTTTGCAGAAATTAAATTATTTAGTAGGTTTAAACAGGGCCTTCCATTTTCACTTGGATAATGTATAAATGACAATACATTAAATTCATCATGTTTATTAAGCGCCTGGATGTAGAGTTGTAAAAATAAAACCTATTCAATAATAAAGATAAACAAACACTGCCAACCCTGTTCAGCTATAGTTTTGCTAATCTGATCAATAATTCTATTGACCTTCCTATTGGAAAAACCAAGGGCAGCAGATCGAGACATATTAAATGTATACTGCAGATAGAAGGATGGTGTCTGGTTTCAGCGACAAGAGATGGTAGCTATATTTTATTCGTAATGTATTCTATTTCTTTTTACCGTTAACAATAACAAGTGTATTTTAGCAGAACATAAAGAATACCTGATGCTGTGCACTTAAAGTCACCCATATAAGTAGAAACAATGGGAGGGACCAAACTCCAGTCATTTCCAAGCCTGCTTAGGGAAGGCTCATCCTCACAGGGGACTGGGGTTGAGAGGTGATTGGCTGAAGTCCTAGGACACAGCAGTGATTGGATCAAAGGATTGAGCCACATCAGTGATGATTTAATTTTATTCTCTGAAATTCCTATATGCAGGGCTGGAGAAGTGAAGCAAGGAGACTCACTGCTGTACACCTGACAAAAGGGGAAAAAAAAAAACTAACTTGAACTGCTTTTGGTATTCAGCCTGACAGTACAAATGAGGACCATTAATACACCTTTATGAAGAAAGTGAAAAAAAGAAATTAAAGTGTAATCAGCGTGCAAGTGAGATCCCCGTTTTTACATGCGACAGGGTTGAAAATATGTTAAGATGGACACTTTTCACAGGTAAGAACTTTCATGCAATTATTTTATATTGGTAAATAAAAGATAGAAATAGCTATATTTTATTCAATGTATTTAAAAATTATTATTTTTTTTATCCATCTCAGACAGTCATGTAAAGGTGAGGTCAGGTCGAAAGGATTAATATAAAGACAGGCTTAAGAAATAAACTTAAGTGACTTGTCCTTAAGTCATTAGATGACAGAAAAGAAACAAAAACAAACATTAAACAAAGGAGAAGTTCTGTTTTCGTAAAGTAACATTTTATTAAATACGCACACAAAAAAAACCCAACCAACTATTAAAATAACTATGGTACGATAGCGAGGTGTTGATAATATAGAATACTGATTAGAACATATATTTTATCTTTGCCCCTGTAGTGACCTACTCAGCTCAGTACAGTGTGAGTTGTATTACATGACGGCACTGAAAAGTGTGACTAATTACAAATGGTGTGAGGAGGGGATGAGACGATTTATAAGTGCAATATAGCTTTAAAATCTACTTAACAAGATATTGTCAGGTTTCAGAATGTTCATATTAAACACTCTACAGAGAACGGT